CTTGCTTCCATGGTCGATAGCGCATCTCCCAACCCTCTTTTGATTGAATTCCTTCCGAGACCCAGCATTGAGGAAGCCGGGCAGACAAAAGTACTATGCACTGAGCTAGGTACCTGTTGGATGGACCCTATCATCCTGTTTCTTAGAGAACGGACTCTTCCAACCGACAAAAAGGAAGCACATAAAGTGCGGGTGAAATCAGAGCGATTTTGGCTCTCTCCATCCGGCGCTTTATACAAAAAGTCTTTCACCGGTCCCTATCTAAAATGTGTGCACCCAAGTAGCGTAGAGACTTTCTTGTACGAAATTCACGAAGGCATCTGTGGCAGTCACATAGGGGGCAGGTCCTTGGCCTACCGAGCTATTTCACAAGGTTACTGGTGGCCATGCATGCAAGCCGATGCACAGAAATATGTTCGCAAGTGTGAAAAGTGCCAGAAGTTTGCCCACCAGATCCACCAGCCGGCCAGGGAACTTCTTCCCCTCACCAGCCCTTGGCCCTTTGCGATGTGGGGGCTAGATATAGTGGGGCCGCTCCCCACCGCACCAGGCAACCGGAAGTTCTTCATCGCCGCCACAGACTACTTCACTAAATGGGTTGAAATGGAGCCTTTGGTAACAATCAAGGAGAAAGATGTGAAGCGCTTTGTCTGGCAGAATTTGGTCACGCGGTTTGGCGTTCCCAAAATTCTGATCTCTGATGACGGCACCCAGTTTGACGGTCGCCTCTTCAGAGGATTTATTGAGGATTTAAAGATTGAATTTTACAACTCTACTCCAGCTTACCCGCAGTCCAATGGTCAAGCCGAGGCATCAAACAAGACCATACTTGATGGTTTGAAGAAGCGGCTGGAGAAAGCAAAAGGCAAGTGGGCTGAGGAACTCCCCACCGTCCTTTGGGCATACCGAACAACCCCTCGGTGGTCTACCGGGGAAACTCCATTTGCTTTAGCTTATGGCATGGAGGCGGTCATACCTTTGGAAGTTGGCATGCCCACACTCAGAAGCGAAAGTTTTGTGCCCGAGTTGAACGCCGAGGCCATCGCCCTGGAACTGGATCTAGTGGAAGAGCAACGGGAAAAGGCTCTCATCTACGTGACGGCCTATCAACAAGAACTTTCAAGGAAATACAACAAGACGGTGCACCCCAGACCGTTCAAAGTTGGTGATTGGGTCTTGAGGAAGGTCATGGGCAATACCCTGGTGCCAGGAGACGACAAGCTAGGGGCAAATTGGGAAGGACCCTACAAGATAACCGGTCTGGCGGGCAAGGGGGCATACCACTTAGAGGATCTGGATGGTAGAACAATACCCCCGCCGTGGAATGCGGCCAACCTCAAACTGTATTATTTCTAGCTTTAGCCTTCTTTTTGTGCAAAGAAATTTTTTGGCTTACACTTCAGAATGTAATTATTTTTGTCAATATATAGAAGTGTTTTCTTTGCCTTTAGTATTTTTGTTCTTTGCTTTTTAAACACCCAACCGAGATAATTTATTCCGGTTGGAAGAAGTGGATGACTTGTTCGACACCGGTTAGAAGAGTTGATGACTTGTTCAACTTAGGATTCCCAACCGAGATGATTTACTCCGGTTGGAAGAGTTGATGACATGTTCAACTTAGAATTCCCAACCGAGATGATTTATTCCAGTTGGAAGAGTTGATGATTTGTTCAACTTGGGATTCCCAACCGAGATAATTTACTCTGGTGGGAGGAGTTGAAGACTTGTGCAACTTTGAAGATCCCAGCCGAGATGACTTATTCCGGTTGGAAGAGTTGATGACTTGTTCAGCTTGGGATTTCCAACCATGATGGTTATTCCGGTTGATGAAGTTAGTGATTTGTTCAACTTTGTCATTTAAACCGAGATGTATACTCAAATTAGATTAGTTAGTTAAAGTGGTTTGCCACGCTGAGATATCTTGTTTGGCTGAAGTTGTGAGGCTTAAAAACCGCACAAACACTTAATGAAATTAAAGCTATTTCATTGATGTAAAAGTAGTACAAAATGAGGGGCAGAGAGCCCGGTTACATATGCAAAGCAAAAAATGGAAGAAAAAGAGAACTACACTAGGGGGGAAAGATTGGAGAATTCATCATCAGCTGCTTCCAGGTCGACCGTAGTTCGCTTTTGGACACCGACCTCAGTTTCTCCGGGCTGCTCCTGGCCGCTTCACTCCTCGGCATTGACCTCGGTTTCTTTAGCAAGCTCTTCCTCGGCCTCAGCTTGCAACGCGCTGAAGACGTCGTTGGCATACGGCACGAGGTAGACCGATAGGAAGGTAGCCGGGGGAGCAGTAAGCACGTCGGTGTCGGAACCTTGACCGAGATGTTCGCAGGCTGACTTCCAGCCCGCTTTGAAATAAATGTCTTGAGTGGCGAAGACCTACTTCTTGTAGCTGTCCTCGGCTTCCTGGAAGCCGGCATTGTTGGCATCTTCGCAGTCCTTCTCCCTGGACGCCTTGAGTGCGTCCAGCTCGGCCTGGAACTCCTCTCTCTTCTTCTCGGCCACCTCAAGCTGGTTGAGCAACCTGTTGTTGTCAGCATTGGCTATTTGAAGTGAGGACTTTGCTCAGCCGAGCTCGGTCTGCAGACCCTAGACTTGGCCGGTAGTGTCATTCGCCTTCTACCGCAGCCGATGGATTCGCTCCATGACTGTAGACGTCCCCGAACGCCCCCGGGAGGAACGAGTCCCCCGTTCCATTCGATATTGGGCTCACTACAGTTCGGACTCTCAATTTGTCACGGTTCTAAATCTGAACCAAAGATTCCAAATCCGGCAAATCGTTTTGAGCCTTATTTGATTTCATCTTCTTAAGTGCAATTTCCACTTCAAAGTTCCTAATCCTGCGATATAACCTGTAGTCTTGGTTTATCGTATTACTGGCTATTTCTTTCCTTATTGTCGTACCTCCATGTTTCTCATTTAATAGTTTCTCAAAATAATTCCTCCATCTTTCCTTAATCTCATCACCCTTTACCAATACTTTAGAATCCTCACTCTTTATGCATTTTACTTGATTAAAATCTCTTGTTTTCCTCTCCCGTATCTTAGCAAGTTTGTATACCCTCTTCTCTCCCTCCTTACTATCTAGTCTAGTGTATAGGTCATCATATACTTTCAACTTGGTCTCTCTCACTACTTTCTTGACCTCTTTATTAGCCAATCTATAGCTCTTAAGGTTTTCCTCAGTTCTACCCTTCTGTCACTTTTTAAAGCACTCTTTTTTTGTCTTAACTGCCGCTTGAACCTCTTCCCTCCACCACCAAGTTTCCCCAGAGCTGGGTCCCGTTCCTTTCGACTCTCCAAGCACTTCCTTTGAGATTCTCCTCATACAATTAGCCATCGAGTTCCACATAGTGTTAGCATTACCTTCTAAGTCCCAAGTACCTTCCTTATTCATTCGATTCTTAAATATTTCTAGTTTATCCCCTTTTAGGTCCCACTATCTTGTCCTACGACACTCACCATCCTTCTTAGCTTGGTATTGCCCTCTAAAATATAAATCTAGTACCAAAATCCTATGTTGAGAGACCAAACTCTCTCCAGGAATCACCTTATAATCATTGCATTTTAAGCGGTCCACTTTTCTCACTAAGAAGTAATCTATTTGACTCTTAACTAATCCACTCTTAAAGGCTATCAAATGCTCCTCCCTCTTCTTATACATAGTATTGGCCACCACCAGGTTAAGATACTCTCTCCAGCCTCATTTTTATCACCAAAACCGTATCCACCATGCACCATTTCATAACCTAGTTTATCTATGCCCACATGGCCATTAAAATCTCCACCTATAACCAGGTTCTCTCCTACGCGTATCTCATGTAAGATCTCATCCATTTGCTTCCAAAAATCCCTCTTAGTCTGATTATCTAACCCTACTTGAGGGGCGTATGCGCTAATAATGTTCACTATATTCCCTCCAATAACTAGTTTAACTAGTATAATCCTATCTCATTTCCTAGTGACCGCCACTACACTTTCCACAAGACCCTTGGCAATTATGATTCCTACCCCATTCCTGCATCTATCCTTACCACTATAATATAGTTTAAAACGATATCCTCAATTTCCCTAGCTTTGTCTCCCGTCCACTTAGTTTCTTGTATACAAGCTATACTATTCCTCCTAATCATAACATCTACCAATTCCATCGTCTTACCAGTTAAGGTTCCTATGTTCCAAGTGGCTACCTTAAACCTATAGTCTTGGATTAGCTTCTTTACCCATGCTCATCCAGAAAAGCGCGGAAACCTTTGCCCATTTTTCACCGCACCCAGGCGTCGATGCGGCGCCCCTTACTCACTTTTCGAAACACCCGGAGGCAAGCGCAACGCGTCACTTGAGGGGAACGACCTAGCATTTAAACGATTCAAAGTAGTATTCATTTTCATAAGGGATTCGAGCGGCTTTTTTTACGTGTTGGCTGTCGGCTACCTAACACACAACCCTCCTCCTTAACCCGGGCTTGGGACCGGCGGAATTATTAACAACCCCGGCGGAGTTACTTTTAAGTATATCTAAATTAAGTAAATCTAAGAAGTAAAAAAGTCTATTTAAAATATTTAAAAAAAAAAAAAAAAACTCACCAAGACAATCAACACGAAAAATAAAAAACTCAAAAACTGTTTTTGAAAATTATTTACTAAATAGAGTAAAAATTCAATGTTATGGTGATACCATGTCACTATTGACATATGGTATTACCTACCAACAATAAACCTACTTGTCAAGGGTGAACCACACTCCCAGAATATAACTACATTTGACTTTTCTATTGAACATTTTTTCTTATTTGATGGGGTCCCTAATTTTTTATAAGAAGCAAATTATATAAAATAAAATATTAACAATACAGATAAATTCTTTTTTTAAACTTTTGTTTGCTTGGTGGGGGGATGGGACCCCAATCAGCAATTAGCTGGCGTCGCCCCTGCTTAATGATCTCAATTTTGTAAAAGTTATTTAATTTTGCCATGTCCTTTTCTCTTTTATAGGTCATAAAGATGGGTTTGGAGGAGAATGTTTTTGTGGGCACTTCTGTTGTCGACATGTATTGCAAATGTGGGAGAGTAGGGATGGCAAGGAGAGCATTTGACCGCATGAAGGAGAAGAATGTGAAATCATGGACTGCTATGGTTGCTGGTTATGGCATGCATGGATGTGCCAGAGAAGCTTTGGAAGTCTTCTACGAGATGATTAGCGCCAGGGTCATACCTAATTATATAACTTTTGTGTCTGTTCTAGCAGCTTGTAGCCATGCTGGTCTATTGGATGAAGGCTGGCATTGGTTTAGAACCATGGAACACAAATTTGGTATAGAGCCCGGGGTGGAGCATTATGGGTGCATGATCGATCTGCTTGGGCGTGCTGGATTTCTTAAGGAGGCTTATGATTTGATCAAAGAAATGAAGGTGAGACCTGATTTTGTGGTTTGGGGTTCTCTTCTTGCTGCATGTAGAATCCACAAGAACGTGGAGCTTGCAGAGATTTCTGCGAGGAAATTGTTTCAAATAGACTCAAGTAATTGTGGGTACTATGTCTTGCTTTCTAACATATATGCTGATGTTGGAAGGTGGAAAGATGTGGAAAGGATGAGAATATTAATGAAGAATCATGGACTGGTTAAACCACCTGGGTTCAGTTTGGTTGAAGTTAAAGGTGGGGTTCATGTATTTTTGGTTGGAGATAGAGAGCATCCTCAGCATGAGAAGATATACAAATACTTGGAAGAATTAACTCTGAAGATGCAGGAAATTGGTTATGTTCCCAATATGACATCAGTTCTTCATGATGTTGATGAGGAAGAGAAGGAAATGACACTGCGAGTTCATAGTGAAAAGTTGGCTGTTGCCTTTGGAATAATGAGTACAGTTCCTGGCACAACGGTTCAGATCATTAAGAACCTCAGGGTTTGTAGTGACTGTCACACTGCTATTAGGTTGATTTCCAAGATTGTTAACCATGAAATTGTAGTCAGAGATTCAAAACGATTTCACCATTTTAGGGATGGGATATGTTCCTGTAGGGATTATTGGTGATATTTGAACAAGAATAGGATAATTTATGCAAATGTTTAACTGCAAACTGTTGATCATTCTTGACCTCTTCAACAGAATTGTTGACAGGGAACTGTTTTGAAGACAATTTTGCACCATGATGAGATGCCAGGTATATTTGTCCAAAAAGACGTTTCAAATGAATTGTTTTTTGGTTGAGGTATACTGTAGAAGAATGAAAAGGAAAAAGTGAAAGAAAATGAAAGAGAAGTAGCAATTCAGTTCCTCAATTTAATATGAGTCATAAAAAAATTGTATTGGCATTTCTTTCAAATATTCTGGATAGAAGTTGGATTTTAAATGGATTGGCTACATTGTCTTGTGGGGAGTTGAGGCTGACACTGAAGGCATATGTAAAAGGGTTTGGTCTGCGTATCAGCAGTGTTCAAATTGCTCAGGTGAAATGTTGGACTTGACATGCCATCCATCTTGACTTTATCAGAGCTATGATTTCCAGTATGGCTTTCACTGGCTTATCTATCTCTACAAATATTTCACAATTTCAAAGGTTAGTGAAATAGAACAGAACTCGGTATTAAGTATTTTTGTTGGAGGAATTCTCTTTTTTGATTGATTGATTGATTTATTTATTGATGTTTTTGTTCAATTTTTACTGGGCAGGCAAATATATAAATGAATATAATTACCATTGTGGGAGAACAGTTTTTAACACCTACTATATTGATGTTGTTGGCCTTCTCTAATCATTTTAGTGTACATCTAAAACTTTTCAGTGGGTAAGTCACGCGTGTGTGCATCAGTGCATGTGTGTTTGGACAAGTGGGAGAGGAGAGTGAGAGATACCACCTGATAAGAGTTGTCTGAAGCCATTGAGAATGGTGGGGGACTAAGTCTATGAGGGCTATCCAAGCCCCATGAGACAGAAGTTGACCACAACTACAAGAATAGTCTATGTGGTATGGACCACCACCAGGCCTTGCAAAAAGACAGATACCACCGGCCTACTTCCTCCATAGATCCTTGGGTTGACCTCCCACACTCCTTACTTTTTAATAATAATAAAGCAGAGAGTCTTGTTGTTCCGAGAATAGGGGCGGCGGACCCAACTTAATCACTGCTGGAACAAATTCCTTGTGTGTAGTGCTTGATTTGCTACTCTTTTTTTTTTTTTACCACATTGTGTGAATGCAGCCTTGAGGTTTAGCCACAATCAGTTGAAAAATGTTTTGGACTCTTATTTTTGGATTCCTAAACCAACCCTTAGTGATATGTCTTATGACACATCATTTGAAAATTTCACAAGAATAAATTTTAGGAGTCCAAAAATAGGGATGTATCATTACTGCAGACATTGACTTCAATTGGCTGGTTATTCACCCCAAAAAAAAAAAAAAAAAACTTTAATTGGCTGGAGCCACATGGTAAGGAAAACCAACCAACTTGAATATCAAATTTTGCCAAAGTTGTTGAATGGATATTTGACGCGATATGGAGTTGGTGTACGTAAGTCTTCTTTATCATGAATTCTGAAAATTAAAATAATAATACTAATAATAAGATGTTGCTTGTACGGGGAGAAAATGTTCATCTCTCTCCGTACTCCTCGGATCCAAGCTTAGCGTTGCTCTGAGTACCGTCGCTCAACCTGAGAATAAAATGATAGTGAGCTACTCGATGGATATGCAGTCAGAAAACTCCTTCGACAATCAAGTTAGCACACTCAGAGGAAGAAAGAGAGAAAGGGGACAAAAGACAGGTAGCCCTGATAACAAGAATTCCAGACCTGTTGTATGGAGGCGCAGCACGGTTTATATAGTTTCTACGCGCACTACTCTGTCCGTCCTTCCTTGGATGCATGGATGTACTACCCTCTTGCCTCTTTACACGTGTATGCACAAATATTGCCAAACAGCATCAATAAAACAGCCTAACGGTATTGATGCATACGGATGGCAGAATCTCTTTTATGCACTTTGATTGGGCCACATGGCAATTTCTACCGGGGTATGCATAGCCCGGTATGTCCCAACCTCCATCTTGATCATTCTCTAGGGTTGAGCTTATTAACCAGCTCGGTTCATCACACGGTTTATTCAAGCCACGTTCGTTCGTTGAGATAAACCATGCCTGACCTCGACGCACAGTAGGAACGTCTAGCCTGGTCGAAGGCACGACCACGACTAGCTTGGCTCACGACCCAAGTCTAACAACTACCTAGTTTAACTTCCAGATCTCGAGCCAACCCAATTGTGTGATCCAAGATCTCGGCCCAAATCTCACCAAACCACGTCAGCTTGTGTAACGCCCTCGGAAATAAACCCAATAAATATATATAACATCAACATGCAATGTTAAAAAGGAAACAGTTCATTATAATGTTCATCAGAGTCTTACTACACAAAAGCATTACATGTAACATCAAATTAAATGCCCCACAGGCTTACATCTTTCCAAGCCAACACTTGGACACAAAAGTATGAGTTCTAACTCAAATACAAATAAAGCCCTAGGCTTGTGTGTTTACATATACTAACAAATGATAGCAAATAACTGAAAATAATCTTCAAAATCCAAGTCCTTCCAAGCTATGTCCTTGGAGGTAGTTTATCACCTGAACCTGAAAATGATGTTCCCATATAGGGTGAGCCACAGCCCAGTAGAAATATACTAAACCAAATATAAGCATTGAATAAAGCAATAGCATTCAATAGATGGTTAACCAAGATAATCAACTATATCATTATCCAATCTCATGACATTATTGTCAACGACACGTTTCACTTTCCAACATTATCAATATGGCTCAGAACCCTAACTTTCTCTTCCACCACTCACGAAGAAAGCTTTTCTCTAACTCTCTCCATCCTTCTCCAACCTTCTCTCTTTTGTTCTAGGAACTACTTAGCATAGGCAACTATTAGTATCTGATATTCTAAAGTTTCAAACTTTCTTTATTTGGATAAGGCATACAGTGATTGTAATATTTTTTTATATCATTGACTGTAATACTTTTTTTTTTTTTGAGGAAGTGCACAAGTTGAATTATGTTGAAAATTTATAAAATTTTAAACCGCCAAACCGATTCGCATCCATCCGCCAAACCGCCAATCCGCTCAATCCACATCCGCCGGATTGGCGGACGGATGCGGATTGATTTTCTTCAATCCGCCAATCTGGCGGACGGATGGCGGATTGGAGGTTCCGTGGCCGCAACCGACCCGCGCCCACCCCTAGCTCTGAGTACTGTCGCTCAACCTGAGAATAAAACGACGGTGAGCTACTCGGTGGATATGTAGTCAGAAAACTCTTTTGACAATCAAGTTAGCACACTCAGAGGAAGAAAGAGAGAAAGGGGACAAAAGACAGGTAGCCCTGATAACAAGAATTCCAGACCTGTTGTATAGAGACGCAACACGGTTTATATAGTTTCTACGCGCACTACTCTGTCCGTCCTTCCTTGGATGCGTGGATGTACTATCATCTTGCCTCTTTACATGTGTATGCACAAATATTGCCAAACAGCATCAATAAAGCAGCCTAACGGTATTGATGCATACGGATGGCAGAATCTCTTTTATGCACTTTGATTGGGCCACATGGCAATTTCTACCGGGGTATGCATAGCCCGGTATGTCCCAACCTCCATCTTGATCATCCTCTAGGGTTGAGTTTATTAACCAGCTCGGTTCATCACACGGTTTATTCAAGCCACGTTCGTTCGTTGAGATAAACCACGCCTGACCTCGACACACAATAGGAACGTCTAGCCTGGTCGAAGGCACGACCACGATTAGCTTGGCTCACGACCGAAGTCTAACAACTACCCTAGTTTAACTTCCAGATCTCGGGCCAACCCAATTGTGTGATCCAAGACCTCGACCCAAATCTCACCAAACCACGTCAGCTTGGTTGCATAACCCAATGACATGGCCCAAATCACAACCAGCTCGGTCTGTTTGCCCAGTGCAAACTCCCCTCTCATTGTTGAAGAAGAAGGAAAGGATAGAAAGGATAGCCAAAATAACAATCACCATGCTTGGTTTAAGTTTTCAGAAAATTCTACTTTCTTATTTTTCGTATTTTTTTTGTTTTTACTGAATTTTTTTAATATTTTAAACAATTTTTTTACTTTTTAGACACACCTAACATAAATACACCTAAAAAGTAAAAAATTTGTAAAAAAAAACTTTTAAAAATTCACTAAATACCAAAAATACAAAAAAAATACAAGAATTTAGTACATTTTTTGTATTTTTATGTATTAATTAATTTTTTAAAATATTTTTTCACAAATTTTTTACTTTTTATATATATGTAACTAAGGCGCATCTAAAAAAGTAAAAAAAAAATGTTTAAAATTTAAAAAATATTCACTAAAAACAAAAGAATACGAAAATCAAAAAACTCAGTTTTCAAAAAATTTAATTCAGAAAACTCAAACCAAACACACTGAATAATGTTAGACATTTTGAAAAGTGTTCCTGAAAATTCTTTATTATTAAGGTCTCATTTAGCAATATCACTTTTTAATCTAAAAGTAAAAAAGTCAATAAAAAAAGGGCAAATTACATATACCCCCTCGAGGTTTGGCTAAATTACAGATACCCCTGAGGTTTGAGAAATTACGAATTCCCCCCTGAATGCTATATTTGCATAAGAAATTAGGGGGTAATTTGTTATGAAATATAAACCTCAGGGGGCAAATTGTTATGAAAATACAAACCTCAGGGGGCGGGATGTAATTTCCGAAACCTCAGGGGAGTATCTGTAATTTAGCCAAATCTCGAGGGGTATATGTAATTTGCCCTTAAAAAAAATTAAAAAGTAAACAATTTATACTAAAAAGTCAAAATTTTCATTTCTCTCTACTTTTTACACATCTTTTCGTAAAAAATTAAAAAGTCATTCCAAACGTATTAGTTTTTTTTACATCATATTTTAGTTAAAAAATTATTAAAAAAATATTTTCCCAAACGAAGCCTAAATTAATTTATAATATTTTATTATATGCTATGTAATTATTTTTAGATTAATTTTATAAATTTTTTTATGATATTTATTTCATAAATAAACCAAAAGTAAAAGTTAGAGAGAACATGTGTGTAGAGGGGGGATACTCCAGCACACCACTCCGTCAATGTTACTCCGTTATGTGTCTTTCATAAATGCCTACTCTCTTGCCACAGAATTACGGACCTGCCCCCAGGATTTTTTTAAAACCTATTTTCTCTATTAATTCTCCTTATTCTTTCTCAATTATATTTAAATATTATTATTTTAAATTTAAGTTGTCAAAAAATTATTTTTGTATTGATTATAAATAGGTTACAAGCAGGCCAATCATCAGATACAAAATCATTTTTTAGAAATTAAATATTATATAGTCTTTTAACGGTATAGATTAGGGATGACAATAGATAACTTACCATGTGGATATTCTCAACCCAAATATATGGATATTTTCTTTTTTTTCTTATCTATTGGGTAAGGTAAATGATATTCTTTAAATATCCACAGGGGATGGGTTGGGGATGGGTACCCACTATTTTTTTTTTTATTTATTTATTTTTTAAGGATTCACAACCAAAACTAAATATTCATTCAATCTCTTTTCTTTTATTTATTTATTTAATTATTCAGGTTCACAACCAACTTTTTTTTTTTTTAAAGATCCACAACCAAAGCTAAATATACATCCAATCTTTTTTTTTTATTATTTTTAAGGTTGACAACCATTTTTTTTTTTTTTAAGATTCACAACCAAAGCCAAATATACATTCAATCTTTTTTCTTTTAGTTTTTTTTTTTAAGGATTCACAACCAAAGCTAATATACATTCAATCTTATTTTATTTTATTTGGCTCAACAATAAAATCAAATACACATTAATTAACATTGTCAGATTATTCTTGTCAAATTTTAGACATATTTAGAATTTTTTAAATTTATTTAAAAAAATTAAGGGCACTGTCTAGTACAGGTTTCGATTTGCTTTTCTATGTTATTTTTATTTTGTTATGTATTGTAATTTTCAGAATTGTTTGCTTGTTCTGAAGTTTTAATTAACGAGTATGAATCTATTTGTTTTATGTTATCACACAATTTATACAA